GCTTAGTTACCTAAGTGCTGAGATTATAGACATATGTTCTGTTCCTCCTCTCCGTGTGTGTGTGTGTGTGTGTGTGTGTCTGTCTGTCTGTCTGTCTGTCTGTCTGTCTGTCTACCTGTCTGTGTCTGCATCTGTCTGTGTCTATCTTTAGAAACAGGGTCACATTCTGTAGCTGAGGTTGATCATGAACTCAGAGCAGCCCTCCTGCCTCAGCCTCCTGAATACAGCATGTTCTACCATGCCTGGCATTATATATATTGCATGTACATGTTGGGCAAGTTCTGTACCTCTGTGCTTTGTCAAACCTGGCCCTTTATATTGCTTTCTGAAAACTGTAGCAATCACAAATTCAATGCAGGATTGTTTCAAAATATTGTTTTTAACTTGTATAGTTTATAAAATATAAACATCATATAAGATTACATAATGCTGAGGTCACTGAGGCCATTCTGCAACTACTAATATTTGGCCCTGGAAAGCTTTCTGGTTATACTGGAATATAAACATGATGGTACAGACCAGAAAAGCTTTCAAAGAACCAATTTTTGACAAGTTAAAACTTAACCAGAGAAAAGTATGAAAGTAACTAGCTTTAAAATTTTTTTTTTATATTTGTGTTTTGCATGCATGTATGTTATGTATATCAAGTGCATGTAGTACCCGCATCAACCAGAAGAGGGCACTGGATCCCCAGGGACTAGAGTTACAGATAGTTATAAGCCTCCATGTTTGTGTTGGGATTTGAACCCTGATCCTAGAACCACTGAACTATCACTCCAGTCCACTGCCAGCTTCTAATATGGTAGTGGAAATGACACTGTCTTCCCCACAGCTATGAACTAGCCTGTCTCTTTCAAAGCTAGCCTGTAAGATTCTAGAGGCATAGAAGTGGAATTTGATAAAGGTAAAAAATGGCCTATTTGTTTTTGAAGTATGGAGGGTGTTAGTTTTGGTTTTTAGGGCTAAGGCTCTGGGTTGGAGCTCCAGAACCAATAAGTAGATAAATAAATCGGTCTGGGTTTTTTGTTTCTGTTTTGTTTTGGTTGGTTGGTTGGTTTTGAGTCAAGGTCATTGTGTAGCCCTGACTGGCCTGAAGTTCACGGAGGTCTGCCTACCTCCTCCTAGAGTATACTGAGATTAAAGGTGTGTGCCACAACACTGGCCTTAGGTTTTTACATTTTTAACCATTATATTTGGTGGTCTGCTTTTTATAGTGGGCTTGGCATTGTTTGTATGTGATACTATTAGTGGTCTCAGATAAACAAATGAATATTGCCCTTTAGTTTTATTGCCTTGCAGGTTTTACATTTATTGTAGTGATTAACTGCTGGTGTTTCATTTTATACCTTCTCTTTTAGAACTGCCTTAAAAGCACTCAGTATAGTGAGGGTATAAATGTACATTCTTGAGCGTGATTGTATGGGTGGAGATGAGGATTGAACCCAGGGCTTTATACAAGGTTGGACTCTACCTCTGAGCCTCCACTGTGACTGAGCTCCAATTCCACTCTTTGTGTGAGGGTGGTTTTCAGGGGAAAGGGGGCATCCTTCAGTCTCGTCAGATAAAGAGATGAGCAGTCAAATTGTGGAGAATTCAAGAGCTCTGCGTTGTGAGGCCTGTAAAAACTGCGTCCAAACAGGACTTCCCCAAGAAAGGCGCAGAGTGGCATTGCTGGAGTGTGATTGGCTTCAGAACCAAACTGTGAGGAAGTTTAAATGTCTTTGTCTCCTAATAATTGTGCCTAAGCAGTAAGTAAATGCAGATCCGGAGTGTGCGTCTGGGAGCAGGTTGAAACCTGAGACAGTCTGGGACAATGATTACTGGCTTCTAAAGGCAGGAGGGAGCATTTCCTGAAAATTTTAGGGTTGGTCTGGAGAGGTGACTCAGCAGTTAAGAGCACTGGCTGCTCTCCCAGAGGTTCTGAGTTCAATTCCCAGCACCCACATGGTGGCTCACAACCATCTATAGTGGGATCTTATGCCCTCTGCTGACATAAAGTTGTACATGCAGATAGAACACTCATTCTTTTCTTTCTTTCTTTTTCTTTCTTTCTTTCTCTTTCTTTCTTTCTTTCTTTCTTTCTTTCTTTCTTTCTTTCTTTCTTTCTTTCTTTCTT